AAATAACTTGACTGACTTTGGCTCTGTCAAATTCTGGCCTACTTGTGGTTTTTGTCCATTAATTGCTTTGTCATTAGCATAATGGGGAAAAAAATGACTACTGAAGACACCTGAGGTTTGAGAAAGCCTGTGAAGCCACTGTCCTAATGCCAGTGGAAGCAGGAGAGAGTCCTCAAGCTGTTCATAGCAACTTTAATCCAGGCCTAAACAGCAACCCCAGCCTCTTCACCACCTCCTCTGTACCAGCACTAACTGCACAGCAAGMCAGATCTGAGAACTGATCCTAACCCAGCCAAAAAGATAAACTGGCTTTTTAGCTAGACAAGTTATTCCAAGCAGCTCACCATATCCACACAAATACTTYTCCCCACACAAGGCAGGCAGCAAGGAAGAGGGCGAGAGCATCACATTCAGCAGCAGCACAGATCTCTGTCAGAACAGTCATGTTCCTAAAAAGCCGAAGTCTGTCTACATGGTCTGCTGCAAACTGCTCCAAGGGAGCAGGATAGAAGGCTGCTTCAATCCAGAAGCCTGCTAGAACAGCTATGCCTTGACTTTTGTTATTCCCTGCGAAAAGGCTCAACTACCCAATACCAGGAGTTTGCACAAGTGGATTTGTTCCCACTTGTTCCCCTGTGCTGCTGGTATTGATTGGGAAGGCAAGCAGCAAAACGACACCCGCAAAACTCCACAAATACCCTGTTCATCTGCCATGCCTCAGATCTCCGCTGTTCCCCTGCTACTGTCCCCAGCACACTGGGAACATTGCCACAAGTGAATATAACAAAGGAAAATCAYATAAGTACACAATTATTTCTTTAAAGTATGATTCATTTGAGGATGTGGTAAACTCACAGAATGGGAGATTTGCAATCTTGCAGCAGTAAAAAAGACTATGACGTTACAGTGCAGTAATGAGGTTCAGTCAATCTCATTTTGAAACCACTTTAAAGAAATACTAGTTCTCCGAATTTTGCATCTTCACTTACCATGCAGAAGAGCCACCAACACAAGATGAGAAGGCAAATAAAGCAGTACACAATATAATTTCGCAAGACATTGGCTCAGAAGTCCAGGTGAGCTTTTCAGACAGTCAACTTCTACCAATCTCCAGTCAATCTTTTTTCCAATGATGAAAACATATCCATAATAACAATTATATACTACATGTTTCTTTACACCATCAGATCATCTGTAGAATGCTATGGCAATTCACAGCATTTACTTCAACATGAATACAACACTCACTAAAACACACAAGAAACGTTGATGCAGATCAACAACAGCAAAAAAAATAACCGAGATCTCTGTACTAGCTGAGAGTTAGTTTTTTAGTACAATATTTTTTAACTCAGGTTCTTTTTCTTGCTAAGAATGGAGATATCAAGATAACCACCTACCTCATACAGTGCTTCAGGGTACTCTTTCAAAAAAAGAGTGCTTGCAAATGCTTCTTGCGCTTGCCTCCCTTGATATTCAGAGAATTTATTCTACTTGAATATTTTTATATACATGCGTATGTATGTATCCAGGCTGTGATCAAATTAAACACTAAAATTATACTATTATCATATGATATCATTCAATAATTGACTGGAGTTTGGATGCTTTTCTAATGTTCTGTTTACAAAAGGGAGTCTCCATGGCTTTAAAAATATTTTATTTTAAAGAAGCCATATGTCTCTCAGTTTTTCTTGCATAAAGAAATGAAAATACAATTTTACTCAAAAATTGTTGTGAGCTGCATTGGATACTAATTGCTTTGAAGCCCTTTCTAGTGCAATGATTTAAAAAGGATACAACAGTCCAAAAGATACCTTTAGAYGTACTGTTATGTATTATAATGCAAAAATATCCAACTCTGAAAAGAATATCTAACACATTTTCTAATTAATGTGAAAACAAAGTATGTTTTACACATTTTATGAATTTTACAGTGATTACATTCTTCAATCCCTCAAGTTGGCACACAGTACATAATAGTATTACTAAAGAGATTTGTTTCTGTTTTTTATCATTTTTTGTTCTACTTTCAGAATTACTTTCAGATTCAGATTTATACAGAATGTACTAAAACTGCACACTACAGATATACCCTCCAAAAAATTACATTCCAAATCTGAGACCTACAATTGAAGACTGTAAATATTAAATCTTACCGTACTTTTCAGAAAGGCTGTGCTTTTCCTGGAGGGAGAAACAGTAGGCCTGATTTTCATTTCACTTGTCTAAAGTGCATGGGAATCAATAAAATAAAAAGAACAACTTTGATTTCAGCAGATTTCAGTTTAGATTCTTAAGAAATAACTTACCTTGCAATCATAAAGTAAAAGAAATTATCAGGTCTTGGAAAAAAAAGAAATGTTTCGAAARGAAAGATTCTATTTTTGCAACTTGATTAGTTTCTTCTTGACTACATTTTTTCTCTTGATTTTTTTTCTGAAAGATACTTACCATATTTAAAGGACACTATCCTTTTGCCTTTCACTGAAAAGTTTTGCTCATATAGGTCTGCTCCTTGTGCCACCTGCCTGTTTGTCATTCTATAAGCAATTAAAGATTTAATTTTACTTATTTTAAGAAGCATCAACTGACCTGAAACAAACTTACTGCCACSATTTTTTGCAGGTCTGTAGCACTTTCAAAACTTTGATTCAAATCATTCTGTTTAACTTGAGGATTAAGTAAATTCATGACCAAATTTTTGTCAGGCATTTTTTACTATAATTTACAACTTAATTAGCTCTAGGATAGTTACCAATTTTACAGCAATCAAATCCTGTCAGGAATTCCCCYGAAGATAAGGCAAAACTCACCAAATTTTCCTTCTCCTAGATCTTTTGTGTCAGRCAGAAGTTTGGAGGCCATCATCCAATGTCCACAGTCTCCTGAATCCTCTTTGAACCTATTTGGGCTTTCTCAAGGACAGTAAGCTACAGCTGAAGCCACACTCCAGCCTCCCACACAGAGTCTCCTGGAAAGCCTCCCCTCCTGTGGCATTTATGAGAAAGTCTCCCATGTCGCCAATATCTGTCACTTACACAACTCGTGTGGTTACTTCTCCCCTTCTGACCTTCAACAGCATAAGAGAGATGATAATAGCAGGCTTTGGATAAATGGCAAAAATATATATTGCATTGTCATGTGTCTGCATTTTGCACACAGATGTTGTGCTACATCATAAATTACATTTTTTTTAAAATGACATATGGGAGGACAGCAGAAAAATGGAAGGGGATTGCTTTTTGATATGTGCAGAATTCTAGTTCCACTCACTTTTTCTCTGGAAATGCTGGCTAAATCTTATTAAATATAGTTACTTTCCCCAATTTTTGTGAAGTCTATCCTGAATAATGGAGATGATGAGACACCAAAAGCTATGCTCGAACTCTCTGTAAGCAGCAAATTCAGTATTTTTAAAGGGAGAATCTCTGATCACATTCCTTGTTAAATTATTTGCCCTTTCTGTCCATTATCAYATAATCTACCTGTATCATCTGAGGAAAATGAAGAACCAAAGATAATACGAGTTTATAAAATGTACTTCTCACTCCTAGGAAAAAAACATTCAGCAGAAGTAACCCAAAGCATCTGAGAAAAAATGCATTACTGATGTCCATACAAGGGTAGCAAACCCATTTTATAGGTAGAGAAACAGACTCCACTTCTGTTTGGCCAGCTCAGGTCACCACAGTTCTGGTGTCTGGGTTGGCCTCTTTGCTCCACTTAATTATCTTAGTAATTTCAGTGAAAACCAACAGGCTGATAAGAATGTGACCCTGCTCACAGTTGACTTGAAAATACAGGACAATTACTACTAAGCTAATCTTCTTGGACTGATTTTTAACTAGTTTTCTCAAATGACTGCATTAGTGGTTGGGTCTGCAGCACTGAAAATTGTAGGAGTTCTGCATTTGGCAACAGCATCTCCGAGGCAACAGCAGTTTGTGGAAATTTGTCTGTATTTCCTGGTAAGGTTTTCTTTTATCCAGTTTCCTCTCCTGATTTTAACGCATGACTGTCTGGGATGATGGGTTAGTTTTGAATTGCTATGGTATCGTCAAAAAAAGATTTTTCAACCTATAGAAAACAAAATAAATAATTCCTGTAATATTCATCTCACTCCAAATCCTCCCCAGTAATCTCTCTGGTTACTGAGATGACACCTGCAACATTCTYCCTTAGGATTCTGGTTACCTGTATTCTGTGTTGAATATTTGGACCACTATATTTAGCACATTCCTGTTTTCATTTCTACTTCTGTATTACACAGTATGCAGAAGCTGTCAGGATTACTGAGTACACTGCAGGCTGTCTACTGTCCCTGATCACGCTACAAGGAGATTAAATATAACAAAAAGCCACTGTTAACAATAACCTCCTATTTACATTGCCCTTACATTCTTTGGAAAGTTAGTTATGGTAGTTTGTTCATATAACGCAGCACAAAAAAGTAGCACAGTACAGTAAATTAGTCCTAGACTCATAATGAGATGGTTTTATATCTCATCTGGAATGCAAGCATGCAAATGCTGGAAGGATCTTCAGAAATACAATGACAGATTAAAAACACATATATTCCATATATGCCATTAAAAATTTCTTCCAAAATGGAAGCATAGAAATAAATATTTGTAATTTTATTAATTTTTGCAACCATTTTTTTCCTCCTTAGAAGTCTTTAAAAAGAAATAGGAACTACAAATGAATCCAGGCAGTGCATTCAGATCAATCTTGGTCAAATAGTTTGAATCGGCGTTGATCTCACTGAACAATGCACTGAGAAAGCTGATTATACAAGCAGTATAGGGGGATGGGAGGAAAGGAAGAGACTGCTGTTTCTAGTGAATCATTTAAAGCTCTGCCCAAGAGAAAACATCCTTGTTTTTCATCAGAGAGGAAAGTGAAGAATAATTTCAGTAACTTCTGGAGGAAACACTGGGTTCCCAAGAAAAAGCCATAAATAAAAAGAAAGCCATAAATATGGCTACAGCTGCAGCTCCTAGAGACACATCCAAAGATGCAGACTAATGCAGATAAACAACTCGTACAGGTGCTGCATTTGCAGCTCCACACTAGAGAAGGTATCATCGTTTCCTAAGGAGGGTGGCAATTTCAGGCTTCATCTAAATGTAAAAGTAAAGGACCGTAYATCGCATCCTGACAGTGCACATGAAGTTAATAAATAAATAAACCCACAAATCCTATGCATTCTATCATATGAAATTTAATGACATACAAGGAAATAGTAGCCTGGAATCCTCACTACGTTTCATGTTTCATTTCATTACATGTTTCTTGCAGACTGCCATGTCCTTTAACTTAAGTGGTCAGATTCTCAGCTGTGAAATATCTTCAGGGTTTGGACAGGCACAAAGAGGCACATAGAACACAATTCCAGTTTTAACACTCTGGAGTCTTTTTACACCAACTCTTACCCCAACATAATGCACAGCAGCCCTATGCACTTCATCAATTACTCCAGCTGCTTGTGGTCTCCTCCCCACGCCCCTATCAATAACTTGACTGTTCCTTAAGCCCAGACCCAAACAACATTCACCTTTATCTGCCCCCAGCACAAATCTCTGATTGCTGCCCACATGTCAATTTGATAGGCCAATATATTCAAAGTAGAGATTATTCCACCTAAAGGAGGTTCAGGTGCTCCCAGACAGCCAGATCACAGCTGAGAACGTGGCCTTTAATTTGTCCTTATCACCTGCACAGAAATACCAGCCATTTGCCAGCCAGATGGATCTGTGCAAACATTTTTAGATTTATTGCCAGCATATCTTCCACCCACTCTGGTGAATAGATCAAGATTTCTAGTAGGTTTAAATTGCTCACTTTTTAAATAAAGATAGGCAATTGCATTTTGCAATTTCAACCATTTAAAAAAAGGCCCTATCTATGCAGTAGTTTAAGCAATGGACTATAAATGCACCAATGCACCTTGTGTTACCCCCCTGATCTCTCTAGATACATTCTTATTTATGCAATATGAACCCTTCACAAAAGAGTATCTTTCCTTTCTTCATTCAAAGATGTGCCACAATAATTCTGCTCAAAGGGCAGAGAAAATTATTTTACTTAATTTTGAAGCCACCTGTAAAACTGCTTGCAAAATTTAACATGATTCAAACATTATATAAAAGAGGAGAAAGAAAAGTAGGAGTTTGAAAGAGAGTGTGACTAAAAAGAAGAAAAAAAAACATACRCAAATGAAAGAACAAAAAAATTAAGTAAAAGGTTGAATACTGTGGGCCTGATCTACCATAAGACATGTACCTTAGGAGCAAATCCACTCAAGCTGCTCAGGAAGGTCAAAGAAGAATCAAACTTAGGATTTTACCACACAAAAAAACTTCAGTTTCAAAAGTGGCATCAGATTTCAGATTTTGCAAGGTTCACTCCATATTTTGGAGCGAGAATTTCCTAGGCTGCAATGAAAAAAATAATGGTTAGTAAAAATATATGGAGCTCTAGAACTCCTTTGCATAACTTTTCTGGAGTCACATTCTCCAAGGCTGGACTCTACTCTCCTTTTCCATTGCTTATTCCACCTCCCCATCCTGCCCACTTCAAACTAGCAGAGAAAGTCCCTTCCCAGCAAGTACTGCCCAAGTATCCAGGACCTGGGCCCTGCACTCTGAGGATGCAATAAATACTGTGTCCAGGCAGCAGTGCTGGTGCCTCGGGGATTTGCAACAAGCATYGTGCGTACCCCTGGCAATCAGGATGTGTTCCACCGCACAGCTCCTCTGTGCGCCTCTGCCTTTGATGTGTTTCCTCTTCATGCTCCTCTCAAAGGCAAGTTCTGTGTAGCCAGGGTGGCCTGTCTGAAGAGAGTGATGGTTCACTGCTAGTTGAAGGGAGGAAGACAATTCCGTCACCCATTACTCTGGTAAGAGTTAACTGATTATCCCCAATAACTCCAGCCTTTACAACGGGAACGTAGCACACAGCTTTTATAAATAAGAATTATTGACCTCTTTCAACAGTTTCAAAAGAAGAAACTCTGCATCAAATGTGAGTATAATTTAGAAACTACTACATAGCAGCAAAACTACATTAGACTTTCTGATTTTTCCATGGTGTCCTTGGATAGATACACCACCCAGTAGACCATGTTAAATGCTCCAAACGTAACAGGGAATAGGATGCGTGCATATTTGTCTATCTTACTGGTGCCAGAGTGGGAGGCAGGGGGAGCAGGGGGGGGCATAGCAGATGGCTTTGCAGATGCTCCTGACGTATTAGGTGTGGTGGTCTGGATCTGTTCCAGTCTGGATCCAAGCAAGCGCTGAATGGAGGGGGATCCAGCTGCAGCATGCTGGGATACAAATCCCGTTAGAGTCGGGGTGGAAGGAGGAGCTGGAGGGGTAGCTCTCGCAGAAGATAACGTCTCTGACGCACTGATACGCGTGAAGGGGTTTGGGCTCGATGCAGGAAGGGAGTGGGCTGTAATGTCGGAAGACCCCTGAGTTACAGAGGGAGGCTGCACGGAGCTGTGTCTTGTATCGATGCGGCTCCCACCATCGGCTTCGGACTGTACCGTGGCATTCGTTCTTTTCCTCACGTTTGAATTGGCATCTGTACTCTGCAAAGACAATACTGTAAATGCTTAAACAGAAGCAATGGAGACCTTACAGCCAAGAGCTATCAGAGCAACACTCTAAAGCATCAACAGTASTTTGATCCTGGAGCTCAGAGACACCACGTGCTCATGGAAGCAGATTTAATAAAATGATAAACAAGAATTTCTCTTACCATTGACTGTACCAAGGAGATACCATCCGCATGAATGCATGAATCACACCATATGAGGTGTTATCTATATAAACTTATTACCATGAGACTAAAGATGCTTGAGYTAGTTTTTGAAGCCAATCTCTCTGGTGATTTCCTCCTTCTCCGTCGATATAAAAGTAGCCTGGACCAACTTACCAGCCATGATTGTTTACTTCTGCTTTGTATCTCTGTCAAAGCTACTGTAGTATATACAGCATATAACTACATAAACTGCATTTTGTTTTGTAGATGCTATTAAAATGCAAATATTTGCCAAACCAAGTTACCACATTGTTGTTCTTCCAAAAATAGAGAAAATCCTTTTCCATGTCAAGCACAGGCAATACATTCACCAGCTGCAACTGAAGCAATGAATAAATCACTCTTTCATCAACTACTTCTTTCCATTAATTAACTCAGAAGTGGTGAATTTTCCATCCCCATGGATGTCTTCAGGCAATTCTGGATGTCTTTCTGAAAGATTTACTTAAGCCAAATACAGCTTATTAGGCTGGATGAGGAATTGAAGTACAGATAAGCATATACAGATGGGAAATCAAAGCAGATTTTAATATTTTACTGACGTCTAGGAGTGGGACTCAGCCTCTGCCCCTCTATGCATCTAAGCAGAAGACTAAATGTATACTGGGACTCCTCTAGAAGGATGCCTGAAGAACCTTTGGGACTTGAACCTTCAGTCTTAAACCTTTTAGATATAATCTGTGAACACAGTTTGAGTTAAGTCCCATCGCTTTTCAAGAGATGTGGATTTAAAGGTACACAATGTACCTAGGTTAAAGAGCAACACTGCAAGTCTAAATGTAGGCAGGACCAAACAAGCCTTCATTATGCATCAAAATAAACATGGTTTGCACCTATCTGATGATACGTTTTCCAAGCACTGCCCTGCACCACCTATAGCTGCGGTGCCTTTGGCTCCGCTCTGTTGTCCCATCTAAAAACCCTGGCAAAGATCACATCACAAGGAAGAGAACAAGAGGGGAAAAAGGGGGTAGCAACCCCTCTGGCCACCCTCGGCCAACAGGAGCTCTCTCCAKCCAAGCACCAGGGCACTCTGCTGTCTGCCTGCACTCCAGAGGTCCTAAGCAGAAAATACCTCAGGTGTAATCCAGGCTGCTAGTTTGAATACTGAGAAGAGTGCAGGTCTGATGAACCAGTTGTGGTTAGCCATTTTACTTAAGGGAATAGGGAAATGGGAGCTAAAGTCAAAAAAAAAAAAAAAAAAAGAAAGATTCTAATAAAGAGAAAAATCACTTGACATCTCCCATCTCCAGTATTTCTACCACAACCAGAATGCTGGTCTCAAATTCTGTTAAYTGCAGTGCAAATCAAGCACTAGCAATACTGCTAGCCTGAATTTGTCTAAAAACATCACATATGTATTCCAACTCACAGTTCATACATCAAAAAATATCTCTTAGATTTCATTGTTTCTCCTCTTGCATAGAGGCATGTCAATCCCTTTTATTTATTTGCATTCATTTTTTATTAAGAGCAAATGACTGAAATTAATACATAAACACCAAAGGAAACACATATTTTATGAAAGAAACTTTACTTGTTTCATTTGATAGAAGTCTGAATTGCTTTTCAGGGAGTGCAGGGGTACTCACCTGTCTGCAATTTGGATATTTTCACATTAGAGTTGCCAGTGCCCCAGGAACAGGAAAGCAGTTTCAAGATGGATAAAACGATGGCATACAATCACTATAGGAGTGCGTTTCCTAAACGCTTAGCAATATCTGACTGAATACAAGATCTCACTGAAAGGTTTGCAAAGCTTAAATACTTGTCACGCACGGAAGTTCCCTACCCAAAATAAGAGCTCCATGCTACTACAAGGGTTGGCACTGAAGTCTTTCAGCACGACACTACTCTCTTAGCTCTGGCACAGTATGAAACCAAGCAGAGAGGAGCTGCTGCCACTACTGGAGCCCACACGTTTGTGCAGGGCCTGCGAAGCCGACCTGCTGCACTGAGAACCAGTGGCTTAGATGGTGCTGCTGGAGAAGATTCTGCCAACAGAAACACCAYATCTGCAGTCACAGGTATGTGCAACCATAAAACAGAGGTCCCAAGAGCAGAATAGCGTGTGATTCAAGTTTCAACTCTCACGCCCACTTGAACTGCTATCTGTTATCTGTTTTTAACAACCAGCTCAGAGTCCTTCCCTGTTGTGCACCATCAACAGCAGGCCCTGGTAAGGGTGACAGGGCACAGTGAGGTTCCTCACCACATCCTAGTCATTTCTATTTCTTCTCTGGGTTCTTCCTTCTATCACTACATATCCATGACACTCACCTCTCTTCTACCCACTTCTACCACTGCAGCCGTCCTCAAGGGAACCAAAAAAGAGCTGCAGCTCTTCAGTACATTACATTTCAGTACATTAATCATGGCTTCTTACAGTGTTCTGTTCTGAAGTTATGTCACTTCAAAGGGTCAGAATGTTTAAGTGCTTAAAAAGCTACCAATWTTTTTTTCCATTGGCACATAGAATCCCAACACTTTGGGAAGCTATGTTTAGAGAGAATCCCAGTTTCCAAAGTAAGTATTACAAAGTATACACAGAGTTTCATATGGATGATTTAAGGTGTCACAATGCAGCACTGCATAATAAGCGTGTGCAAAAAAAAAAAAAAAAAGTGTATTTCTTGTTAACTCTTTAGAAATCACCTTCCAAGTGCTCAACCATGGAAATTAATAATATATTCCTTTCTTGCTCCACAGACAACAGCGTGATACCACTAAGAGCTGCTTTTCCTTAATTACTCTGTCAGGAGAATTCAACCTCTGAATGTTAACCAGCAGAAACTCTGTGGATGACTGTTTCAAAATCCTGAGTGAGCTGAGTACATGATTCCTGCCCATGCACAGCCAGAGTTCTCAAGGGCTCTTATGATAACTTAGAAATATATATATATATATATATAGTGTTATATATGTTATATATATATAGTGTTATAACTATAGCATACCTTCAGTGGAGAAAGCTTTAGGACTGTCTGGGATATGTTAATACCAAAAACAAATAAACAAACGAATAAAACCTAAAAACCTATTTAACAGCTGAGATGGGTGACAATGAAGCAGCTGATTCTCAATCTGCACAGGATTTCAAACATTTACCTCTGACATTTTGATTTAGATACAGCCTGCCAAAAGGCACAACAGAGCAAAGGCAGACAGGTCACTCAACCAAGCATCAGGAAATATGGATTTCAGTCTTTGTGATGGATCTTCATTCTTTCCATGTTTCATTAGTCTATGTAAAGTAAGAAAGCAAACCCAGTACAGARGTTTAGCCAGTCCCAGCATATGCTTGAGTGTATTTTGCCGATGGGAGGGCATTGTGTCCTATCCCAACAGGGCAGAAGGTGCAAATTCTACCTGTCAGAGAAGGGACCGCAACTATTCACATCTCTTGCATCTCTTGCAGTGTATAAGATACATCTGTGTATCTGAGGAAACAGTTCAGTGGCACACAGCAATTCTTGAAGTTCAAACTCAGACATCAGAAGCCCTGACRGAGGCAAACTAAAGGCCTCTCCCTTGGTATTCCATCTGTCTGGGATTTCAGCCTCGCTTTCTCAGAGACCTGGTTCACTCCGCAGTTGATTAAAATCCATTAAAAAGACACAAGATTCAGAATAAAATAATCTAAAACATCTACTCCATGGACAACAGCTGTGTTCCCTGCTGTATTGAGTAAAGTAACGGCTTTCCACATTAAATTTATTTGAAGATAGGAATTGTTACATTACAATCAATAAAACAGYATGCAGTATGCAAACAACCTCTGATTAAAAAGCATAGAGATCCTGCTTTAACTTAAGCATTACAGGTTACTTTGCAGAGGTGGGAGAGAGTTAATAAATAGGCAACCTTAACTGACACGGGGAAAGATATGTTCAGGGTCTTCTTTCTACATGAGGATTTCTGAGGTAAGACACCCTTTTGSTAATCCACAACAGAAAGTCCATTTTATTTGACTTGAAGAAAGAATAAATAAGCAAACTTGCTTGAAGGTGCATGTAAAATGGGTTAATTAATGCTGTGTAATGTGTAATTGCTGTGCTTAGCTTACCAAGTGCAATCACATACAGTTGACCATGGATAATATAATGAAGGATGTTGTTATCATACTTCAAATAAGTCTATGAAATAAGTTAAATATTATAGCAGGTTTGTTCAGTGAGTTTCAGACTTGGCTTCTAGGACAGAACATGTAGACCAAAAAGCCTGAACAACCAATTTACCTAGCTTCAAATCAAGTCACAGATCATTTGCTTTTCCATTTAAACATGTATTTCATGGATACTGCTGTTTATTACCCCACTAAAATGACGCACAAGTATGAGTTACCCTAAATTCTTCAATATGTAACAAGACTTGCATGCTACAACTTAACCTGGAAATTCCAAAACTGTCTCTAAGTCTACATAAGCTTTGACTGGAGCCAAAAAATAAGGTGCAGGATTGTTTTGTATGTATTACCAGCTTTTGACAAGCAAACCAACTTTTCACTTCTGTGAAGTCAGATTGCAAATTCAGCATGGATTGAAACTGTTTGCAGCAGCTGAGCTGAGGCTCCTCAGAACGGGATCAGCAGCACAGCAATATTGAACTGAGAAACTTAGTCATCTTGTAACGACCATAAGACATATTTTCTATGATAAAGCCAAGCTAGAATATGTAAAAACAAACAAGAGCAAATGAAAAGTCCTGGGGAGAACGCAGGAATGATAAAAGTGATTACCAGGGCATCGTGTGATATCACTCTTATGA